ATATATATAGTACAACAGAAGTTAACTTTCAAAAAGATGGCTTTTCTTGCCTTCACTGATTGAATTCAATGTGTCTTGTTTTCCATCTCCATCTTGGGACTGCCCTGGATCCAGTGAAGTCTGAGAAAGGCTAACTTCTGCCGATAACTGGTCAAGACTTTGGTAACTTTTCCTGTAAAAAAAAGGAAAAAAAAATGCTCCTTGAATTTCTTTTTACAAAAATGAACTTCTAGAGATATTCTTTAGAGATTTTCAGTTTATGAAATTTCTGGTTAATTTTCTCCTAACATTGCCTCTAAATTTTGCCTTTATTTGCTCAAATTGCCTCAGTTTGCCCTCTGTCCAAATTTTCTCCATATTCTCTTTGGAAGTGTATCTGTTTTACTCACTGAAAGCAGAGAAGAAAAGTAATTTGTCAAATTAAAGTTTTCACACTAATTTTTGATTACTCACATGATTAAAAATGGGAACCTCTAACTGATTTATTTATAATTTTAAAAATAAATTTTACAGATTACTATTAATAAAGAAACAAAAGTGGCTTAACTTAATAAGGACCAGTGTCTCAAGAAATTGAGTTTTTCAATGCCTTGATGCTATCAGACAATAAAAAGAAAACCAAATTATTACAAACTCCTACACTGTAATTTAGAAGTTTGAAATTTTTGATTTTTAAATTGATGGCTTAAGGCATGTTTCTGATCCTCATTTTTTATCATAGGAAATTTGTTAATAATTTAAATTAAAATTTATATATAGTAATATTTACAAAAACCAAAATACTCAAAAGCAAAAGGACATGGAATTTACCAAGTCCTAAATGAGACAGCTACAGTAACCTCCGGGACTGCTACCCACTGAGGGGTAGCCCCTAGAACAGCATCACCAAAAGAGCTTTTCTGCATGATCGTAACAGGTCATTTCAGAACATCCCACTTCCAAATCCAAAGTGATTTCAAACCTTCTACCCTTTAATTTTTCAGTTAGTGAACAGTCCTTGAGAATATAAATTTTATGTAAATACCAATGAATATAGAAACAGAATTTAGAAAATGAAGCTCTGAAGCAATAATACAAATTTCAACCCAAAATTAAGTGCTTCCTTCATAAGATATTAAGAAGAGCACCTTACACTGTTTCCTCCCATGCTTGAGATGATGACAGACCCACCATCTGGAAGGAAACCAGTTAAGGTGCTCTTGATATGGCACAGAGCAGTTTTGGCTTCCACAGGATACAATACCTGATTTCCAGAGTGGCAGCACCGTGGAACAAACATTTGCTTGTCACACAGTACACTATCCATTGTCTTTAAAGGCCATACACTAAGTCTTATTTTAGAATTCTTGCCTCATTTTGTGCTATTATCTCTTTCTTTGTAAGCAAGATTTTTTTTGTCTATGTCTTATACTCTGAGTAACTACTTTGAAAATAATGATAGAGTGTATTAACTATTGTTCTCTTATTATTTTATTATGAAACTTTATTTTTCATTAAAAAAAACCCAAAACCATACTGTAAGATTTAAATCTTACCTACCAGAGATAACAATGCAATTAGCACCTATGACTTGTTCTTAGAATATAATTTTTAGAACATTGGCTTAATTTAATCAAAATTCTAGCCCCCAATAGTAAGTCATATGTCTGACTATACACAAAACTATAGTTTTATATATACCATTACACTGCTAAATGTATTTTAAATTAAACTTGTAGGAATTATGTCATATGTCATGGATACTGGTAATATAATAAAATCTACTACTGTAAGTCAACATCTATTTAAACATTTTTAAATCACTTAAAAACAAACATACATAAAATCGAGTACCAAAAAAAGGCAATTTAAAAGAATATTGAGTGAAAGACCTGAAGCTATTCATTGGTTAATTTTTCTATAACTTTACATTTTATATCAATGATCAGAAACAATAAAATGGATATGTGTTATTTATTTGCCTAATACATGTACTGAGGTCAATAAAATTTAAGTTATCTGGTAACTAAATAATAATTTATCTGTGCAAGGCAACGGAGTGTGATATACAGAAGGATATGAATATTATCCACAGGTAGAAAACAAAAATACATGCACACTGTATACATAGTGGCACATGCATGTGAATGGAGATAATGTCATTTTGATTTTTGTTTTTCTTCATGGAAATCTATTTAAGGAAGAAGATAATCATTTGCTATAGTGGAATGATGTGGATTCACTTAATCTATTACAGTCTGAGAGGACAGAAGGAAAGTCTGATAGGGAACGATACACGTGAGCGAAGTCACTGCTCAACCTACAGACTGTAAAATGTCTTCCAGCCCCAGTGCTTTAGAGACTCCTACTCTAAAGGTGCTTGAATAACACACATGGGAAGAGAACTCATACATTTGAAGGGAAAGTTATTAATTAAAATTAAAAGCCTAAGCAATATGTCATAAAGGGCATAGAAAATCCCACACATCTTATAATTGGACAGCCAAATTGAAATCCATCGATAAATTTAAAAGTCTAAAGAAGTTTAGCTAAAATATACAAATATGACAATGAATTTGATTTTCGGGATAAGAATGGGTAGATTAGGCAATAATCTAACAAGATTATCTAATGGATAATTTAATAAAATTAAATTAACAAACTCAAGTTACCTGCACTTTACACGTTAAAAAAAAAGATACTAGAACAGAACTTATTTGAAAGAAAAAAGTAAACAATTATTCTGTATGAACAAAATATGCTTTATATGTGGTCTAACAGAAACATGGTAAATGTTTAAATTTTTAAAAAGTATTATAGTAAAAATCACATTACCATTAATCCCCTTCAGAATGTGCCCCTACTCTGAACACATCGTATCCTTTTGCCACTTCCTGAAGCAGTTGTGGAAGTGCTTTTTCACGTCTTTAGTTGGCTGGGCTGTGGCTGCCTGGAAGTCCTGCATCAATACAAAATGTTTGCCTTTCTGGCCACTTTGACTTTGGAGGAGAGCTAGAATCTGCACAGTGCTAGGTCTGGAGAATGAGGCAGATGAGGACGCACTGTAACACTTTCTTAAGCCTACCTCTTTGTTGGATGGTGCTCAGCAGCAGCATTCAGTTATTTTTTCAAAATCAAAGATCAACACACTCACAAACAAGGATTTCAAGGACAGCTTCAGAAAGTGGCAAAAATGATGGGAGGAGTGTGTTCAAAGTTAAGCAGAATATTTTCAGGGAAATTGATAGTAATGTGTCCTTTACTGTAATAAAATTTTAAAAACTTAAATACTGCATGTTTTTATCATCCCATATATACTGATTGTTGAGTTTTATATATAATTTCTATTAATTTTTAAACAGTATTATGTTTGAAGTAAAGAAAAAGATATGAATTTCAGCATGGCTAATATTGCCAAGCTTATATAATGAAGAAATAAATCAGAAATCATTTTTAAAAATTTTAATAGAATAGCAAATAGATTTTAGATTTCCTGTTGTGAGAGGCATCCTTCCTTGAGTAGGCAATAATATCACCAAATTATCCAACAGCTCAATTTTGGAACTATAACGAAGAGCCACAAATCACATTTTTGAGTTCCTAGGAACAAACTGTAACTTGACAGTACATAACAAACTGAGACCTAATTTAGGAGTATCTGTTTTGTAATAAGGAGCAAGCTCCAGCCAGTCACAGGCAGCCAACTGATCACAGCAGGATAAACGCCTCGGCACTGTGTGCCCAATAAGGCAGATGCTCACCAGTAGCCCTTCAATGGTTTCTGTACTTTGCTTCCTTTGGTTGCTTCTACTTCTGGGCAGAATTCTCTGAACACTTTTTGACAAGTCACATCAAAGGGGTGATGCTAAACAGGAAGAGATACCTCTTTTTAAGCTAATGGAGTAACTAAATCAACCATAAAATCTGGATCTATCCTCAACAGAAGAACAAGCAGTTTCCCTGCCTGCTTTTCTGAGACTGCAACTACTTCTGCTGCTGTTGCATTACTTTGTAAAAATCAGTCATTATTGCACATACAGAGGGGTAAACTGGAAATAAATTGTCTACTTTAGGCTCTATATTGGCTCCTGAATAGTTTACTTTGTAGGAGACAAAGGTACACGTCTTGTGGTTACCCCAGATGACGATGTGGATATTACAATAAAAAAGACACAGTCTTTTAACTTAATAAGGTTTAATGTTATCACAATATTTTCAAAGCATGAGCATTTCATGTTTTACATATACAATGGTACAATAGTTCACAAACAATTTGTTCACAAACAATTTTGGAAAAGATGGCCACGTGTGTGTTTGTGGGAAAGATGGCTGTGGTGGTGTCTGTCACCCTAGTCAGAGTTTGAAAGAAAAAAAAAAGAGCAAAATTTGGCCAAATGCTTCCATTTACAAATTGTTTGCAAACAAAAAGTATTCATGAACCAAGGTACCATGTAAAGTATATCAAGTATTACTATAAATTTTCTATCATAGCTTTTCAATCATAAGTTAGAAATAAAAAATAAAATATTCTCTATTACCATGACATAAAAGTATAATGAAATATACTCTAATATTCAAAAATTTCATAGGAGTATATAAAAGAACAAGATCTCAATACATGAAATATCTGAAGTCAACACTTGGAGTTACACGAAGAAACATGGTTTAGCAGTTGAAGAGTACTACTGATTTACTCCACGAATGATTTGCTTGCTTCTAATAATCAACAAAACAAGGAAAAGCACTAAAATTACTATCAATTATTTCAACAATAAAGAGAAAAATTCATTTTGAATTCTATTTTTGATAAACAGAAAAAGCATTGTCCGTGCTTAAAAAACATCCCTTAGATAAATGTGTACTAACCACCTAGAAAAGAAACACTTAAGAAGCCCAGATGTGACTATGCTATGTCAGAGAAATCCAAACACAAAAGAGAAAAAAATGGGGGTGACATGGAAGAAAAGATCATGGAAAGAAAGAAAGGAAGAAGGGAGGGAAAGAGATAAAGGGGGGAACAAAACAGATCACGAAAAACATAAAATGGAGTACTACTCAGCCATAAAGAAGAGAAAATAGAGACCTTTATAGCTAAATGGATACACATTGCGGCAATGCTCTTAAGTGAAATCAATAGGACACATGTAAATATCAAATAGTTTCTCTAGTGTAAAAAAATGAAAGTGTAAATAAGGACAAAAAGGTATAAGAGATAATGTGAAATAGGAAGAGGTGAAAAGGGAAAGGGAAAGTGGAAGGGGTAGGGGAAAAGAAGGGAATAGAATTATATGAGAAAACGAAAAAATGGAAACAAAGTCTTTGTAGATAGGGAGGGGTGTAGAGTTTGAAGAGAGGGCAAAGGAATGAGGAAAAAAATAAGAATCAAGATGGATTATGTAAAGGTGCAAATTTCCAATGATGAATGTCATTGTACTGTAGATCTTAAATGTACCAATAAAATTAATTAAAGAGATTAGTTGAAAACAGGAAAATATAGTGAAGACAAATGATTATGGTGTAAAGTGACTACAAATGAAAGGAAAGTGATAACAATCTATTAATATCAAAACACCTAAGAGAAGATTTTGCAGCTCATTCAATACTGAGTCACTATAACTAAATAATATTCCTGAATATTACAAAAAAAATAAGAAAAGGGTCTGTGGCTCACGCGTGAAGTAATCATATATTCTACCCTTTCTAAAACTTAGCTTCATTGAAAATGAACAAAATTCTTTCAGGCCACAAAGAACAAGTGTATATCTTTCATCCTTTCATGAGTCAACATTTAATATTTTCCTGATGAAGAGGAAAATTAATTTTAGGCAAATATCACACCAAAGCTAGAATTTAAAAATAAGCAGCTCGTTAGACATAAACTCCTAGATGTCACTGAAGGACTGGCTGGTACAGTAATACTGTATAACAATCTCGCAGATATTTTACTTCCCCAGGGTGCCTTGGCTTCAAAAATGTTAACATATTTTGTCTTAATGCAACCTTATCAAAGTAGTCCTTTGTTCTAATAAATTCGGAAGAATAACTGAGAAAACACCGTGGATTGTCACATGTTTTGGGACAAGTGAATTTGTAATTAGTTGGAAAAAAAGTATTACACTTACTCATACCACTGTTTATTGTGTTTTCGGTAAAGCAACGTATCCAAGGCAACAGCACTGGCATCCAGAGCTCCTGGGGAAGGCCACTGGTTGGTGAGGTGGGCAGTTAACTCTTGTCTTGATCTTAAATCATTATTCTTTAACACAGTCCTGTGAATATTAAGATGGTGAGTGCTTTTGTCTTCACTGTTCTACAATGGCAGAGGAACCTAACGGTATCAATTTAGGCCCCCCAAAGTAATAGTGTAAAAACGGTATGTCAATAGACTGAACAGCAAAGCTGACTGGGACTAGCACTATTTTCTCATGCAATCTGTGCCTTGCACTCTTTCTCTAGTGGATGCAACAGATTGCTACTGGTAAAACTCAGATTTCCTATTGATTCCATACAGACTATTTCTAAAGACTACAGATTTTAAGCAGCATTTTACATTTTAACTAAAAAACAGTGGTGATATCCTGAAGATACAGGCTATTTAATGGCCACAAAGATTCCATGTGTGTGGGCTTTTTAGCTACAACATTTAGAAATAACCTATACAAGTAGTAAAACTTAGGGGCCAGGGATTTAGCTTAGTGGTTCTGCTGCCTGTTTTGCAAACACAAGGTCCAGAGTTTGATCCCTGGTAACCACCCCCCAACAAAAAGAATTATTTTGCCAACTGATCATTGTCATGAAATTAACATTTGATCATTAAAGAAAAAATTTTTTTCTTTTGCCTGTCTGCTTTTTTTTTTTCAGCTTTAATTGAGTTTATTGGTACATTTTAGGTATACAGTACAGTTACATTCATTGTTGGGATCTTGTAGCTCTACATGACAAGTCTTGGTAAAAGAAAAATTTTAAAAGAGTTCTTTTAAAAAAATTTTAGTTTATTAGTACATATGTGTAATAGATAATGTTTACATTCCTTGTGGAAAGTTGTTTTAAGAACAAAAACAGAACAAAACCAATATTCTTGTTACTTCTCAAATGCCCTGAATGAAGAAAGAGGTGCTGGCATACAATCCTTTCCAAAAGAAAATCAGCCCGTGCGTCCCTCTATTAACGATTCTCATGGTCCCACATTTACATGTCGCTAACAGGCTGCAAGCAAATATTTCTGATTTGACATAGTATCTATGTATGTCAAAAATATTTGTTCCGAAGACTAGAAAGTATAACAGATACTGTGAAATGGGAAGAAAATGTTCCAAAGGAAAGGGGAACAAAGGCGGGGGGGAGAGGAAGGAACCAGAAAAAAAAAGAAGGAAAAAAGTTTTTGTAAACTCTCTTTGGAAGCGGGGTTCAGTGGGGAGGAATGGGGGGACAAACAAGAATCACGGTGTATTACGTACAGGTAAAATGTACATTTTGTGCATCTAAAATGCACCAATAAAATTGATTTTTAAAGGATTTGTCCCAATATTTCTAAATAGAAACATTATCTGGTAGAAACACTAGTCTCTGTCCTAGAATGCAATATTAAAAGTAAAGTAGGCAGAAGTCAGTGACAATGTATCCCCAAGATACCGTTTTTGGCTAGTTGCCACAGTCTCATTTCACTGGAAAAAATGAAGATTTAAAAACTAATTTTAAGATATTTTAGTGCTTTACAATGAAAACAGTAAATCTTTACAAGCATTTAAGATTTATGGAAAAATCATATAAAGCAGAAATAAAGATTACTGGCCAGATAATCTATTAGAAAAAATGCCATTATTTTTGGTACTATTAGTAGATATTTCTTTCACACATGACTTCTAGTGAACATCACTGGAAAACAACTTCAGTGTCATAACTGATTCTGAGGAAGTAGTACTCAGAGCAGCATGTGAGAAAAACAAATGTGTTATCTATGAGGAAATGACACTGATAAAAACTGATTAATAAGCAATTAAACAATTTCTAATTTATTTATTTATTTTTTCATTGAGTTTATTGGTACTTTCAAGGGATACAGTACAGTTACATTCATCACTGGGATCTTGTAACAACTCCTAATTTATAAAATATTCTGTCTGGAAAGTAAAAGTTTTTATACCTCATAAAATGAAAAAAAAAACCCTAAAACTTTAAAGTTTCACAAAAGTTTTTATATAACAGTTTTCTACAGAGATTTTTTTTTACTAATGACAAATTAAGATGCTGTCATCAGATCTTCATCTCAGAAACCCTAATAATGTGTTTTTTTATGGACAGCTGCTTGGTCCTCTTAAACAGAATATAAGAGAGTTTCAGTGTAAGGAACAGGTATAGTTTTGGTCAAGGGAGGATCTATTTTTCATCTTTGTGAGGAATGTGGAGGCAGCATATTGTGGTCACTGCCCTGCCACTCTGAAGAGACTCTGAGCACACCACACCAGCACACGGTGATGTGGGAATGCGTTAAGCAGGGTGAAACCAACCCCTGGGTTTTGGATTCCACCAGAGTCAATTTAGAGTGGACAGACATTGTCTAATGCATTTATTCTAACAATGGGGCCCGGACCAGAGTGTATCAGCAGAGTCCCTCCTGCAGGCCCTGCCTCAGTCCCCTGGAGGAGCTCAACCCAGCTCTTTCTAGATGTACTTCTAAAAATGGTGCGGAGATCAAACCACGGCCTCATGCATGCTAAGCTTTCCACCACTGAGCTGTGTCTCCAGGCTCAGATCTACTTCTCTAGATCTACTTCTCTTGTTTCCCTCTGAGTTACTAATTTTTTTTTTTTTTTTTTTTTTTTAAGAATGAGATTTTAAGTGGAGTTTGGGGCTAACAAGCACAGGTAACAAACGGATACCTGAATGGTACGAGGCACTGTCCTGCACACATTTTATTTACTTATTTATTTATTTTCTAGCATATCCTCAGTGCATAGCATTCACATACAGAGCCACTGCTGCACAGCGTAAGAATATCTGAAGAGACGGAACAAGAAAGAGTAAGGCTGCTTAGCAGGCTGGAAAGTTTTAGTATGCTTTTCAACTGGCAGGTAGAAGGCAACTCTGCCAAACGCTGCATTAAAGCCCCTCTTGAGTGCTCAGCTCCGTCCCTTCCGTGGGCCTGCAGGACACAGTCACAACATTTAAAGGCAAACCACAGCCACTGCCATGAGCATACTGCACAAACTCTCTAGAACTAAACATGTACTTGAACCCTAATTCTGTTTTTTAAAGCTGGTGAGGTCCACTATCCTGTTTATAACCTGTGCTGTAGCAAAGAATGGCGATGCTATTTAATCGACTACTCATTTATAATCATGGCAACAGTGTCCAAGAGGAGTAAGCTAGGCTTCTCCAAAACAATGAAACACTCAAATTTGTGCTCAACAACTGACTGTGGCTGCTTGCAATCAAAGAATCCCATCGCTTACCTTAGAAAAAGCAAAATATACCATTATTATCAAAGCCTATTCGAAGTGGTGTAACTAATGTTAATATGAGGAATGGCATTTTTCTTGTTTTGGTTCAACTTAAAAATGGGATCACTGTAAATTACTCAATAACTTCTATTTAATACGGTAAATCAGTGATAAGGGTAAACTATGTGATAGTTAGCATTTTACTTTAATTGGAATTCTAGCCAGTGTTGAAGTTAGTCGGCTAATTTTACCTGTCACTTACCTATGCTATAAATCATTTACCATAGTCTCATTAAAATAAAGTTTCTACAGAAAGGTCCACTAAGGAAAACTGACAGGGGAGCAGTAATAAATTTACCATAGTTAATTTTATTAACTTCTCTATAGTATCTGCCTCTAGATTGCTGTTATTTTTTCTTTAGATTGTACAGGAATTTGGCCCTCCATAATAACATTATTCAATCTTGATGCATGTAATGATTTCAAAATCATTTAAAAAAGAAGCTACATGTAACTCAGTCAAGCCAATTATGAGGCCAATTCTAACACTTTTAATACTAAAATAGTATTTCTGAGATAGCAAGCTGCAAGGCTACAACATTAGGGAAAAAATATTCAAAATCTGAGTTTCCTTATATACTGAAAACATTATCATCTTGCCTTTGCTTCCCAAGCCTTAACTATATCTCAAATATTTCACAGGATCAAAATCATGTCCATCTCCCAAGGTCCATTTCATTTTATATCTCTTTCATGAAGATCTCCAGACTACTTCTGTCCAGTGATACCACTTGTATTGCTTTATAGTCATATAATTTAATAACCAATTACCCTAATAGTTTAGTCTTTTAGTCCTTCTACTTTGATTATAAACTACTTGAAGATGTTAGCTTTATTTCCTATTTCTTCATTGTAGAATGGTTAGCATAACATTGGAAGCCTTTTAAAAGTATTTGCAATTTTGGGCTGAGACAGTATAGATTAGCAGCAGGGCACTTGCTGTACTCTTTCCACACACCATTTGATAGCAAAAGTGAAGATCAAGAGCTGTGGAATCAGACTGCACAGATTAGTGACAGTTCTACTATTAATCTACGGGACTTTGTGATCTTAATCTTACAATCTACAATTATAAAGTAGGGATAACTACTGTACCTACCTCATAATATTTATATAAGGTTTAAATTAGTTAAAACATGCAAAGCTCCTATAGTGGCTTATTATTTTCTCAGAACCTGTTATCTAATTTAAAAGTTTTAACCTACAAATTTAAATCTACACAATGTCTCACATACAGCACTTTTCACAACTGAAAATATACAACTAAGTAAATGTATTAGAGGACAATATTATTAAAAATACAAATAAATAATAATCCAAAAAATTTGGATTGTCACATTATTTTCATGACAACCTCACAAAAGTATATGAAGTATACTTTAAATTCTCCTCTTTTATTCTACCATTCTCAATAATTGGTTTATATGGGTTCTTAAGAAATCCTTGTCTTGCTTTTCTAGAAAAGTCTTTTACTCAGCAGATAACAATATATTATTTAAAAGTAAAATTTGAATTTTATATGTAACTGTTGAAATGTGTCAGTATTATGAACTATCCACAAACTACTTAATGAGTTCTTTAAATATATTTTCAACTGCCCGCCCTGCACATGGTTTTATTTTTTTGTTTTGTTTTGTTTTGAGACAGGGTCTCACTATGTAGTTGAGATTGATCTGAAACTCACTATGTAGCTCAAACTGATCTCGAACTCACAGTGATCCTCCTGCCTGAGCCTCCTGAGTGCTGGGATTACAGGCGTGTGTCACCAC